TCATATCAGATATTTTTCTCTTTCTTTCTTTCCTTATCACTTCCTTTCACTCACTCTCATGTATTCTCATTCTCTCTCTCCCTCTCTCTCTCTGCTCTCTCTCTCTCTTCTCTCCTTCTCTCTCTCCTTCTCTCTCTCTCTCTCTCTCTCTCTCTCTCTCTCTCTCTCTCTCTCTCTCTCTCTCTCTCTCTCTCTCTCTCTCTCTCTCTCTCTCTCTCTCTCTCTCTCTCTCTCTCTTTCTCTCTCTCTTTCTCTCTCTCTCTCTCTCTTCTCTCCTTCTCTCTTCTCTCCTTCTCTCTCTCCTTCTCTCTCTCTCTCTCTCTCTCTCTCTCTCTCTCTCTCTCTCTCTCTCTCTCTCTCTCTCTCTCTCTCTCTCTCTCTCTCTCTCTCTCTCTCTCTCTCTCTCTCTCTCTCTCTCTTCGTGTCCGGTTTTGGGTGTGAACACGAGTGAAAAAGAGATGTTGACAAGGTACCTGTTAATCTTTAATTACTACTAATTTATTCAAAGAAAGAATATTCACATTATTTTTTTTTCCATTCATAATTTTTATCTTTGTAGGCTACATAAGACGCCATCAATTTCTGCGTGTCAGCTGTAGATAGAATGAAAATTGATTATATATTCCATCATAGACAATATGTTAATGAGAAGTATGTATAGATATATAAAATTGTGTATTGCTATGTTTACATTTATTTATGTTTGTGTTCACCTATCTATCTGTCTCTATCAATATATATACGTATATATCTATATCTATGTATGTTTTATGTACGCATTATGTATGTATATATGAATGTATGTACGTATTTATCTATCTCTATATATGTCTATCTGTATATCTGAATATATCTATATCTATCTATCTGTCTGTCTGTTTATCTGTCTGTATATGTGTGTGTACACACACACACACACACACACACACACACACACACACACACACACACACACACACACACACACACACACACACACACACACACACACACACACACACTCACACACACACACACACACACACACACACACACACACACACACACACACACACACACACACACACACACACACACACACACACACACACACGTTTGTATATGTGTGTGAGTGTGTGTGTATTAAATTATGTCAGAATTGAGAAAGAACTCGAGAGTTTGGGAGTTAAGAGGACAGCTGAATGTACATATATAAATAACATTTTGTAGCCCCGCAACGTGTTAATAGATAGACAGACAATAAGTGAGTTATTATGCTAAATTTATTCATAGAAAATGTGGTTGAAACAAAGCGGCAGAAAGAGGCCACTTGAGGGAACCACACGAAGAGCAACACAGGACGAATCAGGTAAGGAAAAAAAAAATGAAAACGAAGATAATAATAAATTAAGTCGTTCAGGTGTACAAATTGCTTTTCGAAAATTTTGCTGTTTTACATGCATAGTAGCTGTACGGGGAGTCATTACCATAGAAATATATTAGTTTTTACCCATAAGGTCATTACGGGAATGGGGGGGGAGGGGAGGGGGGGAAAGGAGAGGCTGGGGTTATTTAGGGCCTCCCCAATCAGCCAAGGAACCTGCTCCCTACCCCCTCTCCCTCTTCCCCCTCCCTCTCCCTCTCCCCCTCCCTCTCCCCACTCCCTCTCCCCTCTCCCTCTCCCCTCTCCCTCTCCCCCCTCCCCCTCTCTCTCCCTCCTTTCCCTGCCTGCGACACCCTCCACTCCCCCCCCCCCCTTTACTTGCCCCTCCCACTTTCCTCCTCCAGGTACTGTTACCTCCCCCCCCCTCCCCTCCTCTTTCCACCAACTCCTTCAGCCTCCCTTACCCCCCACTCCGCCCGCTCCTGCTCCTCCTCCAGCAGCTCCCCCTCCCCCCCACCCCCACCTTTCCCTCCCTCCTCTACCAGCTACTTTAACCTCCCCCCTCCCCGCTCCCCTGACACCCCCTCCCCCTTCATCCACGTCCCCTCCTCCCCCTCCTCCTGCTCCTGCTGCTGCTGCTCCTCCTCCTCCTCCTCCTCCTCCTATTCCTCCTCCTCCTCCTCCAATTCCTCCTCCTCCTCCTCCTCCAATTCCTCCTCCTCCCTCTCCTCCTCCTCCTCTTCCTCCACCACCTCTTCCTCCTCCTCCTCCTATTCCTCCTCCTCCTCCTCCTTCTCTTCCATCCTCCCTATCCGGATCCTCCCTTCTCCTGCTCCTCCTCCTACTCCTTCTTCTCTCCTGCCTCCCTCCCTCTCCATCTCCTCCTCCTCCTTCCTCTCTCCTCCCTCCCTCCCTCCCTCTCCTCCATCCTCCGTCTCCCTCTCCTCCCCCCTCCCTCCCTCTCTATCTCCTCCTCCTCCCTCTCTCCTCCCTCCCTCCCTCTCCTCCTCCTCCTCCTCCTCCTCCTCCTTCCCTCCCTCCCTCTCCATCTCCTTCTCCTCCTTCCTCTCTCCTCCCTCCCTCCCTCTCATCCTCCTCCTCCTCCTCCTCCTTCCCTCCCTCCCTCTCCTCCTCCTA